AATCCTCACATAGTCCAGTCACATCACTCTCAGTCAACCTCCCCCATCGACCCGAAGGATTCACCCAATATCAACAGAAAAGTCAATGCTGGGCGCCGAAAGTCAACCACATCTCGGAATCCATCGCGCGTGGTGCGTGAATCACCAAGCATGAAGCCACAGAGGAAGAAGGCACCGCCACCATTAGCTGCAACCTTAGAACTGGCTGGCGCGCTTATGCATCCCCAGACGCCGTTGCATCAGGCTACAAATATAAACGGAACTGGAATCAATTTTCCCCAGTTCTCAAGCCGTGACACCTCTTCGAACGAATCGGTATCTCCCGAGCCGCTGCCCGATGTGCTCATGCCTCCACCTCCCCGCGCGCTAAGCTCCCCAATGATCCTCCCGTCAAATGAGGGGAACGGCAGGGCTGCGGGGGCGCCGGCAACCCCGGCTTCGTTGATGAAGCTGCAAAAAAAGCCTAGCTTGTCGACGGAGGGTATCCCGCCTATATCAATGGACTCAACCGAGTTTTTGAATCGGAATGTTGCGTGGGCTAGGAAGGAGTCTGTCGATAACAGTTCCGGGGCTTCGTCGAATAGCGATGGACAGCCCACCCCTGTTCTTGGCCCTGTTAATGGCTCTTCAAATATGAATAAAATTTCAGAACAATTACAAAGTCCGATGTTGAGCGCTCAGACACCGGGTAGTTCATCGAGTCGGAAAAGCATGTCTAAGCCTACTGGTCGTGGCGGGAAGCGCGGGAGCGTTTGCTCAAGTCCTGCATTACAACCGAAAATTTCACCAAGTATAAAGCCCTTGTTACCTCAAGGTAGGATTCCTTTGTCCAGACAAGGTAAAGCGACGGATTTCGTGGTCAAATTCAAGATGAGTGAGGGACTATGATTGTTAAGATTAAGTTTTTAAGAGTGGCCTTTACGGTCACTCTGAATTTTACGAACACTCAGTCCCTCAGATTTTCGAGTTTAACCGCGAATCCTGTTACTTTCCGGCTTTTTTGCGAACCCCCCCCCCCCCCCCCCCCCCCCCCCGCGGGCGGGAGAATGATGAGTTAACATTTCTGGCATTGTAGGAATGAATCCTGAAGCTTCTGCTCTTCTGTTGAAGTCAAATTACCAGAACATCGTCGAGGGCAACCACAAGCAACTCGGACTATCATACCCTGCAGAGCTTTCGACAAATTTGACGTCAAAACGGACGAGTCACAAGATTGCGGAGCAGGGAAGGCGAAATAGGATCAACAATGCCTTGGCAGAGATCGCCGCTTTATTGCCGCATAATGGCGGGAATGGGTCCGATAATAGCAGCAGTGCGACTGCCAGTGCTGCTGCAGCGGCACAAGCCAGCAAAGCGAGCACTGTGGAGAGCGCAATCGAATACATCAAGGAGTTGCAGAAGGAACTGTCGGAAACAAAAAAGAGACTGGCAGAGACGGAGAAACAACTTTCTGAGACGAGCATTTGATGGGCTGGATAGCGAAAAATAAGGGGAAGACTTGACACCGGAGGAGAAAAGTTTTGAGTCGATCTGACATAATATTGAAAATGGGTGGCTATCTTTTTTTCCTTTCTTTTTTTACATTTTCAATTTCCATCTAGGGTGGGGGCAGTTCTGTTTTATGGAGCATGTTTTTTTTTTATTTTCTCGTTTATTTTCCTTGTACGTAAAGTTCTCCTATGTTTCCTTTCGCTTTTCCACGTTTTCGTTTCATTTGGTTTTTTTTCCCCCTCTTCCTTTTTTCATTTCCCCTTTCCTGGATATAATTTGGCGATGGTTATGACGACTTTCCGGATTTCTAGCGGAAAAAAGCAGGGCGGGTGGAACATAGATAGGTATTCACTCACAGTTCATGTACAAAAGACTTTATGCAAAACAAAAAAGGATGTTCAATCACCTAATTTTCAATAGCGGGGTTATGACGTCGAATAAGAGTAGATCATATCAGCGCGTAGAAAGCCGGCCCCTATACGCCGTGCTGCCTTTCCGTAGGACTATCCCTGAATATATATATTCATCTTGACACATGGATACATTATGGAGGCAGAACACCAAAGATGACTCGGTGGAGGATGGAAATGATTGATAGTACTAAAAAATCACCAGTGCGGCAATAGATGCCGAAAAGGTCATTTCCCATGCACAATAATCAAGATGTCAAGCCGCAGAACTAAGCTTTCTCTTCCCCCCCCCCCCCAAGTGTGGCGCCGTAAATCCCAAGCATCGTCAAGTGATCGTATGTGCGCAGAGGACGGTACATATGTAATGCCGTATAGTAATCGATCCCTCGTAAGCTGCAATTTACGTGCTTCCAAGCTGGCTGTAACCGCCAAGAAAATCCCCGCGGAGCCTCACAACGTCGGGGCCAACCCTCCACTTCAAAGTGCACACCTATCACAGAACTGCCGGGACCTTGACACGCAAGTAATATCAACGTCAACGTCAACTCCGACGAACGGCTCCCCCCCCCAAACGCTAAGGACACATCACAACCCATTGTGCCCAACCCCACCAACTCCCCTCCCCCAACCGCTTAGACAGCTAGCTATATCACCGGTAGAGCATAAACATCTCACGTTCCATAATTCCCCTCGCATCGTCGCCCCTTAACCCAAGCAAACAGCAGAAGCAGAAGCAGCAGCAGCCCTCACATCCATAGCAAACCCAGATATGGCCAGCTTCTTCAACTCGCCTCCGCCGCAGCAGCAGCAGCAGCCACAATACGGCAATCCGGGCAATCTTCAATTCTACCAAAGCTCCTACGCAGATGTAGGACGAACTCCTGGCCAAGCATCACCACCGCAGCAGCAGCCCCCCGGATATGGATTTGGTGGGATGGGCGCCATGGGTCAGATGGGGTCTATGGGGTCCATGGTGAGTGGCGGGTACGGGGGCAGCAGTGGAGGCGGGGCGTCGAGAGAGGGAGGCTTAGCACCTGGCTGGTTGGCCGCGTTTGGTACCGGAGGCTACGAGGACGAGCAACCGCTACTGGAGGAGCTAGGTGTCAATTTTGGACACATCAAGATGAAGGTGTGTAGTAACAAATGCCCCCCCCCCCCCCCCCCAAAACCCCTCTCTCTTCCCCTCGGGTTTACTCCGGACAGATGGAGTGGTTGGGAATTTCGGGCTAATGGAATTTTTTTCTTTGCGACAGACCTTGGCTGTGCTGAACCCTATGTCAAATGTCGATCAGCATATGATGGACGACAGTGACGTCGCTGGGCCAATTCTGTTTTGTCTGCTCTTTGGAGCTTTCCTGTTGCTTGTGGGTGATGCCTTGATTGATATTATGGGAGCGATCGTTCCGCGTGCTTGCTTACTGACTTTTCTCTGCTGCTCCGATTTAGTCCGGCAAGGTGCATTTCGGCTATATTTACGGTGTCGCCCTGCTTGGATCCATTTCACTACACCTTATTCTTAACCTTATGTCACCGCCATCACACTCGCTAAACTACATCCGGTCTGCCTCCGTGTTGGGATATTGCCTACTGCCACTCGTATTCACCTCATTCATTGGGGTACTGTACCCGATGAACGGGCCGATTGGATATTTCCACACCGCACTCACAATCTCTTGGTGTACGTACTCGGCGAGTAACGTGTTTGTAAGTGTGTTGAGGGTCAAGGACATGAGGCTACTCGTGGCATACCCTCTGGGGCTTTTCTATAGCGTGTTTGGCATCATGGCCATTTTTGGAGGCAAGGCAGTGGCTATCGGTGATGGCTTATAAGCCATGAGCATATGTTTTTCTCTCTTGGGGGGCGGGGCCGTGATGTAGTTAGGAATGTGGGTGGGTGTGTGTGTGGTAAGGTGTTGGGTACATGAAAGTTATCATGCACAGAAAAATTACATTGTTTGTATTTTTGTAGACATATATCCCTTTTGCATTTACGTTGTCGAGCGCGTCCTTTTTTTTCCATACCAGTTTTAATTGAAATGATGTCTCCCCGCGGTATGTAAGCATTATTGTTTTTGTTTTTTACTAATCAGATGGTTGTCCGAGTGATTTTGTATGACACAAGTCATGGATAAGCACTCTGGCATGTCGATAAGTGCACATTTAGGTGGCGAGCGCCGCAGTCACCGGGCATCACCCGTCTGAGACATAGATTCTTTCTGTCCAGCAATTGACTGGTTGATTAATTGATTGATTGATTGATGGATATATAGTTCGCTCGTGCATACATACATACATACATTCCGCTCAACAAGCCCCGTGGAGGCGCGCAGGCTGAGTTAGATGCGAAATAATCAAGGCTTAGATGCGAAGGTACATAATATATCCAATCCAATCCACTCTAGGGGTACGTAGCCGGTATGTACAGCTCAACAGAGATTTTTATCGAATAATACTAATGAATAAAAAAAAAAAACAGAGGTCAGAAACAAAGGGAAAATAAAATAAATGAGCGTGCTCTCTCCCCCTCTTTCTCTATCTAGCAGCTAGCTGGCTAGCTGGCTAGTAATATAAGAACCAAAAAACATGCAGTAAACATCAGAAACCCCCTAGCCTGTATGTATGTATGTAGTCAATACTGATCAAACGTCCTACAATATGTATAAGAAAAAGATGATATAAAAAAAAAAAAAATAAACTCCGAGATTCCTCCTGTACAGTGTGGGGAAGCAAATAAAAGAAATGAATAGGAAAGGAGGTGGGTGTATATGGTGGGCTTGCACGCATAATAGACAATACCTAGCGCTGAAGTAAAAGTAAAAATAAATAAGAAAATAGAGATGTAATAAAAAAAAAAAAAAAAAAAAACTCCGAAAGTCCTAATGTCCGATCCTGTCCGCTCCGCTCGCGCCGCCCGCCGTTGTTTCGTCCCGTCAATGATTTTTGATACCCCGCCAACCAGCCAACCAACCACATCGCCGATGCAAAAAAAGTGAAAAAAGCTAAAGGGAAAAGAAAAAAGTTCCCCCCCCCCCAAAAAAAAAAACGCCAAAGATAATGCAAAAACACGCAAAAAGGACGAAGAAGAAGAACCCGCACGCACTACACCACAATAGCAGGCCTCAAATCCTCCTCCTCCCCGTCCTCCTCCTCATCACCATCCTCCTCCGCCTCCTCCTCCTCCTCCTCCTCCTCCTCCTCCTCCTCCTCCTCCTCCTCCGCACCCCTCCTCATGATCATCTTCCCCCCCACAACCACACCCTTCCCCTTCCCTACCATCCCCACAGCGGCCACAACAAGCCCCTCATAAGCCGGCGGCAGCACCACCTCCTCCTCCGCGCCCCCTCCCGCGCCCGCACCCGCCTCAACAGGCTCCAGCATCTTCTTCTCATACACCAGTCTGTACCGCTTCCCGTCCTTAATCACGTAGTCGCTCTGCCTTGGCGCGTCGCCCACCAGCACCGCCATGCACCGCCGCGCATAGCGCATGTTCGCCTCCGCCGTCACGGCCTGCGCAGGCGCCCACTTGCCGGACGCAGACACGTCGTCGTCCGTCTGCTGCTGCTGCGGGAGGCGCGTCTGGGCGCGGGGGCGGGAGCGTGGGGGTGGGAGAGGGGGTAGGGAGGGCGTGTCGTTGCGCTCGGGGGCGGCGGGGGTCGTGGTGGTGGTGGTGGTGGTGGTGTTGGGGGTGGGGGAGGAGGAGGAGGAGGAGGCGTCTTGTTGGTCCCGACGACGGCGGCGGCGGCGTGGGAGCGTTTGGTAACGGGGCAGAGAGCGCTCCTCGAGTGAGGGCGAGAGGTCGACGGCCGCGCTGAGCGCCTCGAGCCATTCGAGGAAGACCTCGAGCGTGCGGCAGCTCAGCAGGAACTGCTCGGTTTGGGCGCGGATGCGGATCACGAAGTGGCGTCTGTGGCGGGGGGGGGGTTGGGTTGGTTAGCTATAGCTCAATGATCGTTTGCACATGTTTTTTCCCTCTCCTTCACAACCACCCACACACAACCATATACAGTGCAGGGGAATAAAGACTCACTTGCGATAATCCGCCGCAATCCCCACCTCCGCCAGCTGCAGCGTATACGAGCGCACCATCTCGCCCGGCACATGCCCCACGGGCCGCCCCTCCCTGCCCCGCGCCTTCTTCACCGCCGACGCAAAGAACGGGACCTTCCGGGGCCTATGCAGCGTTAGTAGCGTGCCGTAGAGCACGGCGTACGTCTTGCCCCAGCGGCGCTTCGGCGCGCGCTCAAACGGCGAGCTCATCTCGGGCTTGTGCTCGAAGAGGGCCTCCTTGTGCAGCGTGCACGTGTATGCGGGCAGCTGCTCGTTTCCTTCTTCCTCGCGCGGCGTGATGCGGAAGCGGGAGGGCGGGAGCTGGACGGTCTCGTCGTAGGTGGGCGGTGTGGCGGTGGTGGGGTGCGAGGTGGTAGGGGCGGCGGGGAGGGGGAGGGGGAGGGGGAGGGGGAGGGAGAGGGCGGGGTCGTCGGTGCTGCTGCGGTTGGAGTAGCCGGCGGTGGAGTAGTAGGAGGGGATTGTGCGGCGGAGGGGGCTGGCGGCGGGGAGGAAGCCGGCGATGCGGAGCCCGGATTCGCCGTCGGTGGTGGGGAGGCCGGCGGGTGTGTGCGTGGGGAGAGCTAGGCTCCGGAGGGTGGGCGTGGGCGTGGGCGTGGGCGTGGGCGTGGGCGACATGGCGCGCGGGTGGGCCGGGTGCGTCGGGCTGCGAGGTAGCGGCGGTGGTGGTACCGGTGTGCGGTGTGGTGGATATCCTTTCCTTTTCGGTGTGAATCAACGCTCGCTCTCCTGTAGTGAGGCTGAGGAACGAACAGCACAGAAAGAACGAAAATAAATGGTCAACAAGCAGAGCACAATAAAGGCTGTAATAAAGCTGTAATGCTGCTTGTCAATAAAGCGCAGTAATGCAGTAATCGAGAAAAAAAAAACCCCTTTCCTTTCTCCGGCGGTGATGGATTCTCGAAAATAGCAGCTCACAGCTTCCCTCCAAAAAGACCACCAGGGTGTTCGAAAACGGGTTTGAAGAAAAACAACAAAAACTTTAAATCCTGCTACACCCCACCCCCCCCGTTCCAAACGCTCCTTCTTATTCACCTTCACCTTCCCCCTGCCCCCTATTTGCTTTTTGGGGTGCTGGTGCAGTCAGTGGGTGGTGCTTGTTCGGCGGTCGTTCTGTTCTCGGTGTGAAACCAGGTGCAGCGAATGGGGAGGATGACGTGGGATACCTCAAACAGAGACAGTCTTGGTTCTTTCTTGGTTGGGTGAGTGGGCGAGCGAGCGAGCGAGCGAGCGAATGTGAGTGTGAGTGTGAGTGATCGGTGGGGCGAAACGAAAAAACAGAGGCAGATCCAACGTTCCCTCAGTTTACACTTATACAATTAAAATCAATTCCCGAGAGCGCGCGCGCCCCCATCCATCCCATGCAAATGCAAATGCAATGGCAGTCTGTGTTTCTGCCAGTGCAATGTCTGTGGAGGCTAACCCTATGGGATAATTGGATCGTAGACAGCAGGCAAAGTCCCGCAGCAAGCAAGCAGGCACTGGCAAGCAGGCAGGAGGCACTGGCAAGCAGGCAGGAGGCACTGGCAAGCAAGCAAGCAGGCAGGCACTGGCAAGCAACGCGAGCAAAAAAAAAAGAACAGAACACAGAGAGACAAAGAAGCAAGCCGCACTTTCAGCCAGATGTGGTGGTGTGGGTGGCCGTGGTGGAGGCTCAGTTCGTTCCTTCCTTCAGGGACCCTGCCTATCCTGGGTTTTTCTTCTTCTCTACTTTGCAGCAGCTGGCTCTGCTGCGCTGCACACTGCAGAGGTTCCCTTTCCCGTGGCTGATCATGTCTTGGAAAAAAAAAACCTACATACACCTCTCTCTACTCTACAGGCACACATACATAGATTCCCCCCCCCCCCCCCTTTCCAGCCCGGCATCGCTGATCCGACGGCATGGTGAGTGGGGGGGGGGGGGGGGAGATTCGATTGTGTATTTGTCGAGCGAGTGCTTGGGTTGGGGGCCCTGCGTGACAGCTGGTGCCAGCAAAGAACATCTTAAACACTTGCCCTGTCTTGGTATTTACTTAAGCTTGGGGGGCCAATGATACCCGGGAGGCGATGATTCAGCTTCCTTCTGTCTGCTCTGCTCTGCTCTGTTCGGGCTGGGTGCTACTTCTGGTCTGGCCTTTCCACTCTTCTATCCATCCTACAAGCTGTCTTGTCCTTGTTCTGTCTGTCCGTCCTGTCTTTTGTCCGAGTTTTCCCAGAAAGAGAAGAGGAGGACGTTTACCCACCCCGGAGCCAGCCCCGCACCCAACCCCGGTTCCCTGGTGCATCCATCCATCATCCATCCTCATCGGGAATATGTCCTCTGTGGGGGAAAGACAAGGGAAGGGATCGAAGGGGGGGAGGGGGGAGGGAACCCCGGAGTCCGGGATTTGTGCCCTGATGGAGGAGGTACGTCGGGCTAATTACAGTATCTGCCGATAGCCCGATAGATGGAGTAGATGGATGGATAGCCTATTTGGATAGATATGTAGATAGATAGCACCACCCCCCTCCACCGCTTTTTCAGATGCAGCAGCAGATGGGGTGGGGGGAGGAGGGCAGGTACGGATCAGCGTGTTCCGTCTGGGGTTGGGGTTGGCTGGCAGGGTTTGTGGATTACTGGGTGGATGGGGGGGGGGGGGGGGGGGTAATTGGGAGGGTTGATTGGGTTGGCGGGTTGCGGTGTTCCGGGGTGTGCGGATTGGCTGGCTGGGAGTGGGAGTGGGAGTGGGAGGATGGGGAAAAGGGTGGAAATGTCATTGACGCTCAATGATTTCTTGGGCGGTTCTTGGGGTGTGCCAGTAATGGGGTTGGGAAGTGCGGGCCTTGGAAGTATGTAGACCGACCACTCGGACCAAGTCCCTAATTAGAGTGCATGTCGCCCCGGATATATGTATGCGAGTCTGGAGCTTTGGATCTTCGCTTTGCGGCCTTGGAAGTGGGGATGTCATTCAATGGCTGGAGATCCTCAAGTCTTTGTTCCTTGGAAGTAGGAATGAGGATGAATGCGTGTTGTATTTCTAGCTAGCTATGATCCAAAGGCTTTCGGGCCTTGGAAATAAACTTTGCATGTTATTTCAAATAGAGTATACGTAGCGGAATCTAGAGCGTTGGATCTTCACTCCGAGACTTTGGGGCCTTGGAGGTAGATGGATATGTCATTCCAAATGGGGAATCTAGAGCATTGAAGCTTCACCTTGGACAGATGAGAGTGCACGACATTATTGCTAGCTGCGGACATGATATCCCCTCTAGGCTTTCAAGACTTGCAAAACGGGGGGTGAGAGCATCTTATTTCTATCTACTCTAGCTATCCCCCCATCAAACCTCCCCCCCAACCCTCCCCCCCACCCTCTCCAGCCACTCCCCCCCCACCAACCCCTCCTCAACGGCCTCCACCACAACCCCCCACACCGCCTCCCCCCCCTCCACAATCCCCCTCGCCGCCTCCTCCACGCCCTCCCCGCCGCTCTCCAAAACAACCATCCGCTCCTTCACCGCCGCCTCCCCCTCCACCCCACCACCCAACCTCCGCGCACCCCGATAATACACCCCCGCATTCCTCACCAACACCCCCCGACTCCTCACCGCCACATCCACCCCCAACCTCGCCCTCAACAACTCCACATCCCCGCGCGCAACATGGATCTCCCCCCTCCCCGGCTCCGCCGCCGCCGCACCCGCCAAATACTGCGCGGCAAACGAGTAGTGGCGCCACGCCACGGCGTCATCAGACACGCTGCCGGCGAGCTGGATGTGTGCGTCCGCGCGGTCACACAGCGCCTGCACGCCGTCCACGCCGTCGAAGGCCGCGGCGACGCCCGCTTCATAGTCTGCCAGGGGGCCGCCGGCGCGGTAGGACGCTTCCGCGGCGGCGGCCAGGAGGTTAGCGCGCGATAGGGCGGCTTCGGACTCGCGGGAGGTGGCGTGGGCGAGCGGGGGGATGGTGGTTGTGAGGAGGTGTTGGGCGGTGTGTAGGGTTGTGGAGAGCGGGGGGCAGTGTGGGAGGTTTGTGAGTGGGAGGAGGGTGGCGAGGGTGCTGAGGAGGGCGAGGGTGGTGTCGAGGAGGGTGCTGGGGGTGGTGGGGGGTTGGATTATGGCCCATTGCTCGGTGGTGTTGGGTTCTGAGGGTGTGGATGAGGATGAGGCGGGTTCGTCGCCCATGTCCATGGAGGTGTCGTCGCCCGCCTCTTGCGCCTGTGTCTGTGTCTGCTGCAGAGCGGCGTACTGTGCTTCTTGTAGTGCCAGACAGCGCTGTAGTGTCCCGACCGCCTCGACGAGGAGCTGGGCGGCCTCTGTCTTTGCCTCTACAGGTGCAGTGCGGTACTCAATCAGCACCTCAGCAAAGCTGCACAGCACCTGGCCCGTATTGCTGTCCTCCCAGTTAGTTCTACTTGCCGGGTTTCTAGTTGAAGTGGAAGCTTACAAGAGCGCATCTTCATTCGCCGGGTCCAGCGCCAGGCAGCGCCGGTGGCTGTCGACCGCGGTCTTGAGCAGGAGGCGCGAGCTGCGGTGCGTGCTGCCTGTGAGCTCGGGGTGCTGGGCGAGCTGGTATTGCAGGCGGGCGCTGTAGCAGTTAGTTGACTAGTATGACCCCACAGAGAGGAAGGAGGGGGAGGTACAGGTTGTAGGCGGCGTCGAAAGAGGTGGGGTTTAGCTGCAGGGCGGTATTATAGCTATCAATTGCTTTTTCGTAGAACCGGCCGGCCTGTAGATATAACGCCCTGTATTATTATGTATTCTTTTAATTTGCTTCTTGGGAGGTTGGTAGAGTTATAGATACCTTTAACTTATCACCTGGCCGCCAGCGATCACCGGATTCTTCGTGCTCGATGCCGACTATTGGTGGTCCATATATCAGCCATTGTGGCCCTTCCTTCTTTCCTTCCTTTTTCTCTGCAGGAAGGGAAGGGTGCTCACCATCCAGGAACTCGTCCGCTGTCTCAGGGACCTACTGCACCCCCGCACGTGTGAGCACTCCTAGCAATGACTAACTAACTAACTGCAGGAAGGGGGGGGGGGGAAGGGAGAGGCGTGCCTTCTTGTTTTTGCGCTTGTTGCTTTGCGGCTTGGGCGGGAAGCGGTGTTTGGGCATTTTTTTTTAATTTGTGTGTATCTGTATCTGTATCTGTGTAGTGGGAGGGTGTGTGTGGAATTGAGATTGAGATTGGTGGTGGAATTAGATACCAGTAGGAGATAGTGCGGTAGAGATAGTGAGATAGGCACAATCGATCATTGACCAAGTGAGTGGGCGAGTGAGAGTGAATTGAATGGGTGTGAATAGTGTGAGGGCTCCGCGGAAAAGACCGAGCAGAAAGAAGAAGAAAAAAGTTGTTCAGGATCGATCGAGGGCGGGGCAGACGAGATGCGGCTCTGCGGTAACTAACTAGAGCAGAGGGCGGCAGTGGCGTCTGTCTGGGCCAGAGGTGCGGTGCGGCTAGTGAGTTGTGAGTTGTGCGTTGAGCGTTGAGCGGTTTGCATGTGTTTTGCGTGGTGGGCCAAATAACCGGACATGCAATCATTGGTTCTCGACCCTTCTGTGTCAGCCTGTGTGAGGTTGGCTGGTTGGCTGGCTGGCTGGTGGGTAACAGGGGAACCCTAACCCAGCATCTCCGTTCTCAGTACACGGGCCCTTCGGGTGCTGGAAATGTCTCGTTGCAATGGACGCACAAGCAGCACCGTGCATTGATCATTCTGGTTGACGTCTGGCTCGAGCTGTAGCAATTGAAGGGGCCATACTTGGTGGCTCTCTCTCTCAAGGACAAGACAGCTTTTGTACATACCATGGTTTGGCCCGCGCTTCTACCGCTTGACACCTCGCACCACGCCGCCGGTAATGAGCTCTTTGTTGGAATTAGTTTCATTCCGTGGTGCCGCCGGTGGGGTTAGTTGGTTATATAACTCGCCACCACCAACTAGGTGCATGCTACCAACTGTTTCTACCTACTACTAATCTTTGTAAACAAAAAAAACCGCGCATCAAAAAGCGATCTATGCACACCAGACTTGTGACATTTTGCGGGAACCATACCCGGGTTTAGGAAATAACCTCCCAAGAAAAGAAAGAATACTGAAGAAAGGGAAAAGAAAAACTTCCAAAAGAGAAAAAAGAAAAAGAGAAAGAAATACAGAAAGCATACACCCATCCATTACCCAAGCTTAAGCCCGCAGCATCTCCGCCGCCGCCCCCCCCACTCCTACAGACCGCTTCCCCCCTCTCCTTCTCCTCTTACAAACCCTAACTCCCATCCAGTAACCCCCCCCTCCTTCACCAGCATCGCCTTCCCCTCATTCGCGGCCTGCACCGCGCCCTCCAGCCCAGCAAGGTTCCTCCCCAGCACCCCCAGCAGCTCCTCAATCTCCCGTCTCTGCGCCTCGATGCCCGAAATCAGGCCCGCGTTCTGTGCTTGCACGTCCGCTATCCGCGAATTGACCTTTTCCTGGGCGGCGGCGATGACGGGCGCGAGCTGCGCGGTCATGATCACGTCGGGCGGTAGTGTGGAGGGTCTGTTGTATCATTCAATCCATCAGTAGCTAGAGAAGTAGGGTGATAGAGGGAGACTCACGGAATCGGCACCTCCCCCGCCGGCGCAGCAGCCCGGCGCTCTTCGGCTTCGCGGATCAGCACGTCCAGCTGGTTCAGGCTCTCGATGACATTGCGCTCCTTCAATATCTTTTCCCACTCGATCTATCCCATTCACTCATTAGCCACCACTCCCTCTCTCTCCCTCTCCCTCTCTCTCCCCCCCAACAGAAAAAGACAGAGGAGCAAACCATCGACCGCCCCTCAAAATACGCGCACATCTCCTCCCACGCGCGCTTCAGGTTCTCCGGCGCATTCTGTGCGGGCGTCGGGAAGCACTTTGCAAAGTTGCTGTAGGAGCACGTCTTGATGGAGTGCTCGAGCGAGGTTGCGAACAGCGCGCGCAGGCGGGTTGCGCGTGGGCCGTCGGGTTCCGCTGCGGTGGCGGCGGTGGAGGTGGAGGTGGAGGTGGGTTCTGGGGGCGGGGGTGGGTTGGCCGACATTTAGAGGTGTGCGTGGGTGGTGGGAGGAAGGGCGGGGCGGAAGAGGGTGGACGCGTTGAGTGCTGTGCTGTGTGGTGGTGGGGGAAGGGTTGATATGGCGGGTGTGGGGTGGGATGTGCATGGTCGCATGGCCCAATGGCAAGGCGCTTGACTACGAAACTTCTCTGTGAGGTGGGGAATCAAGAGATTCCAGGTTCGACCCCTGGTGCGATCAGACAAGGGATGTGTTGTTCTTGGGCTGGTGTTTCGGCATTTAGTCAGTTGATGATGCTATTAACCTTTTTATTTTTGTAGTTTAGTTGTGGAAATAGTATTTGTGTTGATAAGGAAGGCGTCGCATATTTTTACTAGCAGCCACTCATGCAAAAGAAACTTCCATGTAGTCACTTTTTTCTGCTCAAATCGCTTCTTTTACAATAGGCAGCCCCGATTTATGATATTGTGCTTTAAGCCTCCGGCATTTGATTCTCTAAAAGATAACAGGCCATTGATAGCACTGCAGGGGTAATCTTACTTGCAGGGCATTTCATTGGGTAAAAAGTGCACTGTGTTATATAGCACAAATGATATAAGGGTCGCTGGTGGCACAGAATATCACTCGGCCTCGAATGACGGTGCATGACTGACCAAAGTGTCTTTTTTGTTCTTTCTGTGTTTGCAGCGAGTGGAGGGGTTCTTTTTTTTTACTATTTTTTGGTATATTCACACAGTACATAAGTGCCTGTCACCATTGATGCTTATTTAACCTCCCATCTTATCTAATAAGTATATAGATATACCGATATGCAATGTGTTATTTAAAGGTTTTGATTGGCCAGGTTTGAGGGGTTTTCTTTTTCTCTATCAAATATGTTTGCCAGTAAGTAGATATTCTATCAAATATGTTTGAGTCAGCCAGTAGATATTGGTTCCAACATACCTTGAGTCAACCAAATAGTATATCAGATATGTGCACAGGGCATCTTGGGGTTTCAGTGATCTTAAGCGTTGGTAAACTGATATTGTTTAAGCCATAACAGTTCCTACTCCGGCCAAAGGCCGGAAAATGCTTGTATATGGGAAAGCTATTTGGTATTGATTTGATTATCCACAGGGTTTAACTATCTATTTAAGCAGGAACTTTGCATGGTAGTTGACATGGTCCTCCGCAAACGTCGAGATGAAAAAGTAGCTGTGATCATAATCCTGTACCAAAAGAGCAAAGCTTAGTAACTTTCTCACAATCCACAACACAATCAGCGGTAGGGAATTCGTCGTGCTTACCTTCTGATACCTCACATTGACGCCCTTCTCAACGCCCTTCTCCTTCGCCGCAGCCTCAAAGTTCTCCGGCAGCAGCTGCCCGTTCTTGTAAAAGTTGTCGCCCGTACCAACATCAATCAGCGTCTCAAAGGGCCCCTCCCACTTCTTGAGAAGCTCTGTGGCATCGTGCTCGGCCCACTTGCTCTTGTTGCTGGCGCCGAAGTAGCCCGTGAAGGCCTTCTGTCCCCACGGGCAATTGATCGGGTTGGTGATTGGTGCCAGGGCGGAAACGGACCGGTATTTCCCCGGGTTCTTCAAGAACTGTCCTCATTCTCAGCTACGCACTTGGCTTGGGAACTTGGGGGGAAGACAGCTATCCTTACCAAAGTCAAGGCCCCATGCCCACCCATCGAGTGTCCCGTAATGCTAACCCGCCCCGCATCCAGCACCTCAAAGCTCTCAAACAGCGCCTTCGGCAGCTCCTCGGTGATGTACGTGTACATATTGTAGTTCTTCTTCCAGTCACCCTCGGTGGCATCCACGTAGAAGCCCGCGCCGGAGCCAAAGTCCCAGCTCTCGTCCTCGCCCTGGATGTTGGCCCCGCGCGGCGAGGTGTCCGGGTACACGACGGCGATGCCGTGCTTGGAGGCGTAGGCCTGGAAGAAGCCCTTCTCGGCGCAGTTGTCGCCCGTGCAGGTCAGGCCCGAGAGGTAGATCAGGACGGGCACCTTTGTGCTGGAGCCGGAGGCGGCGGCGGCGGTGGGCGGGAGGTAGAGGTTTAGGGCCATTTTGGTCTTGGTGGAGGTGCCTGGAGTTTTGGGATGGTTAGTTTAGTAGTCTGTTGGCTCATTGCATGTTAGGTGAATTTGGTTTGGGGAGGGAATTTTACTATCATGCTCCAGCTTGAGGAGTTTGCCGCCAAAATTGGCAATGGTCGCTTTTGTCTCGAAGCCCATTTTGAAAGTGTGCAGTGAGCGCTGTTGTTGCTGGAGGGTTGTTACCGGGTGTTGAATCCGTACTTGAGACGCAAGCAGAGTGAGTCTCTTGAGGGCCTGAATTTTGAAATATGAGGAGGGGTATCTTGTAGAAAATATGGGTGGGATGGCAGATATCGATATGAAAAAAGAGTCGATATCAAGGAGCGGGGATGACGTTATGTATCACGTCCTGCCAAGGATGCTCATTACTATCTTCGAGATATTTAGGGGAAACATCGGGATTAGGGCGGGGAGGAAGCAGAGCACCCTTGCAACCAACTTTTTTCGTACGGTTATGCGCGTGATGTAGGATGTGGGGAAGCTGGAGGACGATCTTCCGCTGCTTGCTCGTCTTTTTGGAATTACTCATATTTCTTAATAATTTGTTTCTCTTCTTTTTTTTCCCGGGTGATATTCTGTGAGGAATCGCGGATTACATGTATGTGCTACAGTTGCTGTACTTATTGCGACATGTCTTATGAAATCCGCATTATTTAACCAGTATCCAAAATAGTTTGAGAAGTCATTGAATCCAAATGAGCCAGCCCTCCTTAATGGATCTTTATACAATTACATGGTCGAACAGGGTTGGTATAGTCCACTCATAAGCTCGATGCCCTCAGCTATATCCATAATCCCGAGAAGATAGTGCTTTTCGGGGTTTTAAATCTGCTTTCTTCTGAGCTTTGTCTGGGAAAGTCTCTGGCTCTGGCTTTGTATTATTTTCCGAGGAAGGGGTTTCAGATAGGCCCTGCTTCTTGCGGGCCTTTGCCTGCCAGACTGCATCTTCTTCTTCGATTTCCCTCAGTACTGCAAAGGCGTTAGTAGTGCGAATATATGAACTTTTTTACAAAGATCAAATTCAGGTCGCATACCGTCTTCCCAGCTCTTCTCATCTTTCTCGTTCCCTACACCGAGCATTCCCTCCACGTCCACATCTTCTCCCCGTTGAAGTCGTTCTATAACCTCTTTGAGGACTGCAATCTTTACATTTGCCCGTCGCATGCGCTCATCGTGATTGAGCCTCAGCGCAATTATCTGGATCGCCTGTGACCCAATCAATAGGAAGATAGCCTGTGCCAGACGGGATATCAGCCTCGGAGCCACCCAGGTGCTGTCATGCCACAGAATTGCGGCAGGCAGGAGAGCTTGACGAACAATGTAAAACGTTGCCGGGTTCCATGGCTTCTTCCCCTGCGGTCCCTTTGCCTTCGAGTCGGATTTGGAAGACTGCCAGTAGATCCTAGGGTCAAGAAACCGAGGAAGATATCTAGTGGATGCGCTCGCTGGCGCTGGATGCTTCAATTGGTGCATGGAAATCGTTGAGAAACCCGAAACGCCGTTGAGCGCACGGGGCCGTTGAACCGCCGCATTCGCAAGACGTATGAACGGCCGTAATCGTAGAGCTGCCATAGGTTTATCTTCGCGGTGACGATGAGGGAGGGGTACGGGTTGACAGAGTGGGATGTGGATTTTCCACCAGAGCCGCCTGGTTGTCGTGGTAACGAACGGCAAGTTGCGTCTCACCCCCGGCGCACTGCATGTTTATGCATGTTTGCCCTCTCTCCATAGCTTCCTCGGCCTCCGTCGCAAGTACCTCCCAGCGACGTGTTCTTCAACCACTAATAACCTCCCCAACCCTTCTACTCAATCAACTGATGTTATTAGGAGGATTTGACATGATGGTACGATTCTTCTCCACCTTTAATGCGTGAATTTTTTTAATGCTAACAACATTCCAGGCAAGCACACGCACATCGAAACCATCCCCTCTCGGATATGCTTTGGAACCTTCAGGCTTCAATGGCACAAACGGATCTTCTTCCGCAAGGACCATGAAGCGATCGGCCTCTGGGGCGTTCACTCAGCTGTCGAGCACTCAGATCCAAGAGCTCAAGGAGAGTTTCCAAATGCTAGATAAGGATGGTGACGGTGTTATTGGAAATGACGATCTGGCGGCTATGTTGAGCAGTCTAGGTAAGGGACTCCTTTTACTTTATTTTTACACAACTACCCCCATCTATTCTATCTAAGCTCTTTGTTAACTGTTTTAAAACTATAGGCCAAGAGCCCACCTCTTCTACCCTCTCCGCGCACCTTTCTTCAGTCCCAGCTCCTTTTAACCTTGCGTCCTACCTGACGCATCTCTCTCAACATTTGTCACTCCTGACCCCCGGCCCTGACCTACTCAGCGCATTCGAAGCTTTCGATGATAACGACGATGGAACCATCGATGTTGCTGAGCTTAAGGAGGCTCTCACAGGCATGGGAGAGAGAATGAGTGACGAGGATGTGGATCGGGCGTTAAAGGGCTTTACTAAGCGGAGAGCGCTCGCTAGAGGGGCGGCTAACCACAGCAGCAACTATGGGGGCGAGGTCTTCAAGTACAGAGACTTCGTGGACGCCCTTTCGGGGAAGGAGGAAGAAAAGGAGTAACGATATTTGTAGCTGGGTCAATGGCTTTCATTCGGTCCTCTTTCTGGGTGGGCTTTATGGTTAATGGTGGATACATTATGCGGGATATCGATATCCAGGAGTTTGCTTGTTTGGTTTGTTGGAGGTTTTCCTTATATTCTTTCCTTAATTATCGGTGCCGGTCGCAACTATCATCCTGTAATCCTTCATTTGTATACTAGAGTTGGTCTAAACATTCATTGAAGTAATTACCACACTGGGCGAGTCTAGAGTCTTGTAATCAACTATCCTCGGTTACAACCATGGTCGCATGGCCCAATGGCAAGGCGCTTGACTACGAATCAAGAGATTCCAGGTTCGACCCCT